GCCCCCGCTCCCCGGCCAGCCGCGCCCCGGGGAGAGCGGAGCGCCGGGACCTCGGGAGCATCCCGGTCCTCAAAAGGGCAACAAGAAAAGGGCTCACGGTGACCGGTTGTAGCCCAGGGTGAGAAATACAGCGATTGCCCCAAAGTAGCTCAACGCCCGGCTTTTTCACTTTAATTAACCGTACAAGTAATCTCAGAGCATTTACGATCTTTTCTAACAGTTCAGTTGCCCCGAATGACCAGACCTACGCCACTTACTTTTAAAAATGAAATTGTGGCCAAGCACCAGCTCCTATTCCTTCATTCTGTCTCAGAGAAAAAACTGGTCACCTCTTGAGAAAACCTGGCTATATGGTCAATCAGGGGAAACCTAACTTAATGCAAAACTACTAATTCCCTGGCGCTAAGGATGTATTTCTGGATGCTGATTCTTCCAAGCCTCTGTGATCCATTTTTAGAACCAAAGACATACCGTGTTTCTACACAAGAATGAACAATTCTTTCCATTTCAGTGAGTGACACAGTAATAGTTTTGGTCCCTTTAACTACAGTACATTTCCTCCATAAAAACAAATCCACGTGTTATCTTCCTGTAAGAATAAAGGTGGCAAGAGTTCAGACATTATAATCGCCCTACTTAAAAGCCGTGCAGTTACAAACCAGAAAATCTAACAGCATTGTACTGTCACACCTATCTCTAATGTCATTCCTGTCATTAAAGGGCGGTAGTTCCACAAGCATGTGCGTTAAGTCAACAAAAAATTAGCAGACAATAAAGGCATGGACAGAAATTACTCTGGCAAAGCAAGAAAATGTTTTTCTTAACACTGACGCAGTGCTAAACCAGCCACTATCAAGTTGGCATAATGTACTGCAAAAAAACCAAAACAAAACAAAACAAAGCCCCACAGTTCTTGAAGGTTACATAGCAACAGGTGTTAATACTGATATAAGTATTTGAATGAATTAAAAGGCCAGATTCCATTGTGTTAAAATAAATATCAAACAGTGAAAGAGTACTAATGGGTATCAATTAATTATTAGGCAGCTGCTGAGTTTAAGGAGTAACAGGTGGGGAAGAAATTAAGTGATCCAATGTAACCTATTAAGTTTTAAATTTAAATACTGTACATCATTACTGAGGAGAGAGCAAACTGGAAATAATTATTTTAAATCAGCGTCTGTGGCTAAATGTCTCTATCCAAATAAAGAAACTTGACTATTGATGAATCTCCAAGACTTAACCTATACTGCTTTTCATCCCTCCACTAGAGAAAAGTTTTCCACAAAGAGTTAAATCCATCAGTGTATGCTCTTTAATGAACTCAAGAAAGTCGCAGTTAAGTGGCACCATGCTTACTAGGTACAAAACATTTACGAAACATCTATTCTTTATAGTCTTAATTACAAGATACTCTAATATTTTAGTGAAGCATCGGATATAATTACAGTGCATTATATACAGAGTACAGAAATATTCTTATAGGAAAAAAATAAATAGAAAAAAATATGTAAACACCCTGAGTGAAATTCTGCTGCCAGTGAACTCAGTTATGGAACTGTCACAGGTATGAGAACACGCAGTATTTCACTCCTTCGTTTAAAGCATATAGCAGTGCACATAACTTCATTTAGAACAGTTTAAAGTGCATACAACATTAAAAATAAATTTCTATGACTGAAAGTTTTACATATGCAGATTTCATTCATATCTATTACGTCTTCTCAATTCCATCTCTTCTGATTCAACTGCATCTTTGTTTATCATTTCTTGGTCTTCTACCACATCTGGCTCAAACTGATGTACGTCACAATCATCGTATAATTCATGTTCTTCTATTGTGTAATCTCTATCAATATCATCAAGGAAATCTTCATTGCTGTCATCTTCTCTGTCATCCATTTCTTTCTCTTGAGAATGTTCAGCAAATGACTGAATGAGATCTTCAAGTTTCTCATTACAAATGTGGCTGACATCTTATAGTTCACAAAAAAAAAAATCAAACCAGAAGTTTAAATTACTAGAAAGGCTCTAAATTTCAGGGTCACTTTAGAAACAGAGTATTTACTCTTAAAATTGTTTTCTCTCTTTTACTACAACACAACTAATGCAAAAATTCCCAAAACCTCTAGTGAACCATTCTTAATATTTATTTTAGACTGCTATGCATGTCTGGGAAGTCTCCAGCTGAAGTATAGTTTAGTATAATTATGCAAGCATTACCCACAGCCTCATAGGTCCTTGTCTGGGAATCCTCAGACTGAAGTTAGTCCAATACTAACAGATTGCTCACGAACTCATATTCAAGAAGCTGTTTTTTTAACAAAGCAGAATGTAACTATGTGGTCTGTCCTAGTTCAGTATCTTTTAGCATCTACTAACAAAATATTATAATGTATCAAAAATTTGAAATTAGACACACCTCAAACAGGAAGAAGAACCATAGAATGGCCTAGGCTAGAAGGGACCTTAGAGATCATTTAATCCAACCTCCCATTTCACCTAAGACACAAGAGCTAAACATTTTTATAGTATAATATTTATTCTTTTAAAATACAAACTACTTAGTTATCAATTCTATCAGAAATGGAAATACCTTTCATCTTGTCATCTGATTTATCCAATCCACTTTCTTTCATCAGTCGTCTAATTGATTGGAGCTGTGTCATTATTTCATCTTTCTGCTCACAAGCTAGAGCATTAACACTGGAGAACAAGACAGATGTCAACAGCTGAAAGATTATCTTGTGAGTGCTCTATTGAAGAGGGTCCCTTTTCGGAGAGCCGCCGGGTAACGACAATCACACCGATGCGGTTACATGCCGTTCCAACTTTATTGCTCCAATTAGCCCAATATATATACAGTTAAACAATATGCTTTGTGTTCATGTGCCAAGCACAAGCTACAATAAGCTTAGTCTTTGATTACCGTTATCAATCCTTGCGGGTGTTAGATGCCCTTGCTGCAGTTAGAACATCCTGATGTACGTTTTGCAAAGTTCTTGCAGATACAACTTTGTTACCTCTTTTTAAGCTTCAAGGCAACTCTATGAACAGAGCACTGTTTAAGGTCCAAGTTGGATTGCCCGAACTTTCTAGGGGTATACTGTGTCCTTATTCTGCAAGGAATTCCCCCACACTCAATAATAATGTATAAGCTCGTAATATTTCCTTCAGTGTAAAAACACAACAGTTAAGTAAGCAACACATTTAGGTAAAGCTTTTCTTTAAGAACTTGTCTCTTGAGAAGTGGGGAGCCCATCACATTCATCTGAGTAATTTAATCAGTGAATTCTAACAATGAAAGCCAGTGGCCAAGGTTAAGTAATGACTATTGAAAGAAACAACAATCCAATGTAATTTTATTTTTACAGCAACAATACCTAATAAAGACCTTCACAGTTTAGAGGCTTTTCTTATTTATTTCAGATTTTCTTTACCCTCTCTCCATCATTTGTTCTACAAACTAGTTAGTGAATTTACTGTTTAACAGTTTCAGCACATACTAAATTCAAAAGTACACTAAGGGAACAATCAGGAAATTCTGCATGTGTTAAACTAGGCTTCATTAAGGATGTCAGTCTATGCAAAATGGACTACATGGATATTTTTATTCGCAGTAGATGGGTAAGGCCCTAGCTTCTTAAGGAAAAAATTCTCTAAAACTACAAGGAGTTTATATTACTTATTCCCTTGTTACACAACAGAGAAGGTATGTTTCCTCAAAACACACACAATCACTTTACAGATCCATTTCAAAAGACAAAAATAGGCTGCTATTCCTTGATAACTAGTTTTGTCTTCTGATTATACCAAAAGGAAGAAGTTCTTTCTGCTCCCAGAAATCTAATTCCCACTGGGGTTTTCAAAATGCTAATGAACTCAAGTATTTTTTAGTATTAGTCTTCTCAGTCAACACTAAAGTTTAACTTGTTAAGCTGCAGTAACGTGATAGTAAGACTGAGCTTCTGCATTTACATTCAGCAAGGAAGAGATAGGAGGTGTCTGTGGAAAACATCACATATTGCAGAAGAGCTATTACCTGGAAAAGTCTAAGGAAATAGTAATTAAAGAAGGTTCCTAAACACTGTTCCCTACCTCTATGTAAGGAACATTTTAAGAACTCTTTGTTAACATTTGGGAGAAATTCAATTTACAGAAAATAGTACTGAGATATTTTAGAAACACTCACCAGTTTGACAGTGGATCCAACTGAGTCAATAAAGAATTTAACATTTTCTCCGTCCGTGCTAGGTGCTGCTCGAGTTCCAAAAGCTGATGCTCTAACAAATCACAAAATACAAAAAAAGGAGGAAGAAGGACAGAGGGGGAGGCAGGGCAGAGAGAACACTGTAAGAAATATATTTACAGTACCAAAAGGATATTGATTTATATTTTTTATTTTTTTTTCTATATAACATTCTAGAATATAAAACCAGACTGGTGAGGCTAAGAAGAAAAGTCTTACTATATCTGGTCAGTTCTTCTCATCCAATAACCTGTCTCCAACAGTGTCCAAACAAGAGGATGCCTTGCTAGAAATCGGGGGAGAATGTGGCTCTCGCCTTTCCAGTCTCAAAACTATGATTTCCAAGGCTTCCTGAGGTATAAGTAGCATATTTATACTTAATATACTGTCATGAATTTGCCCACTCACATCTCACAGGTATATTCAACACTTAATGCACTGGAGTTGAGAGGAATAGCTCCTCTTAAAATACTATGAAACTTTGAAGAATAACACACAAGTACAGCGAGCAAGGCAGTGTAGTAAATCATTGCTGAACCTGATTACAGATCTGGTGTAAAGAGGCTGCTGTTGTTTAATTAACTAAAAATGTGCCTATACAAGGGGCAGAAAAAGGATAACAACAGTTCAGTTTTGATGTGCGATAACTTTTGCTCCACAGTCCACTTCCTGGCATATGCAGAACAGACTGAATCAGACAGACAGGTGTACTCTGTATCATGAAAAAAACAGATGGTAGCATTTGTTCTGCCTCTTCTATGTTTCTGACAGGTCCCTAATGTGGCCTAGAAAATCAACAGTCTCTGTAACTGCTTACCATGCTATTTCACTATCAAAACCAGACTACTATATCCTTTTTAAATACCATATTAATTCTATTATATCTTATTTAAAAATTCCATTACTGAAGAAAACTGAACAAGTCTTAAGTGATTAAAAACATTAGAAATCAAAAGGCAAGAGAAGCATACTATATTGCTTACGACAGCTGTTTTAAAGAATATTACCATCTGGAGTTTTCAAACAAACCTCTAAAAAGTGTTTCAAATATATAGAATAATGAAGTGGTTTTCTGTAGGTTCCTAATAGCACTTAAGTAACCTAAAAGACTGTTCTTATTTAGCGTGGCTGCATTAATGAAAATACGTACGTTTGTTCCAGCAAGAAATATGCATTTTTGGTGAACATAAGCATTCTGAAGGGGTATCTTACCTGTTTCCTTTGCCTTGTCTTCTGTACTTTTTTCCTTTTTGGAGAGACTTTCTTCATGTGACTTCATCTTTAACAAATACAATTGTGTTAAAAGACTTCATCACTATTTGTCTATTACAAATAAAAATGCATTTATAGATTTATTGAAAGTAAACAGCAATGACAAAGATATGCTCCATTAAAGAAACTTTTCTCCTGCCATGCTTTCTTCTTACCTTTAGCGTTTCTGATTTTAACTGATGACATCACTGACAAAAGTTGTAAAAGAAAGCAGCTGCAATTTCAACTCCAGTTTTCAATAAATGAATACAAGGAACTTTTTAGGTTACTTGGATCCAGTCTCCTACCATTAACTAGGAGGTGAAACTTCTTTCTTAAAGTAATAAAGATGCTATTATAAAAATACTTACATTTCCTTTCCCTAAGTGCAAGTGTAAAGAGTTATAACACCCCAAATATTGGTTTTATGATGTCTAAATCTTATTTATAACCTAATTAAATTTATTTTTAAAACCAAGCCTCTATGTTCATTTTGTTAAGTGGTATTTCTCTCATATAGGAGAGGCTATGAACCATGAACGTGAAGGTGCTGTCTCTGGTCTTGTTCAGGTTAAGGTTTTTTTACCCTGAAGACAAGTAACAATATTCCAGGGGCATTCTCAGCACTACAAGTGCTGTAATATCTCTTACTATAATACATTTCAAGATTGATATTAAAAAAAAAAAAAACAACCCTGATCATTTGCTCTCCTTCTTTAATTTACGAATGGTAGAAAAGCTGTCACATTTCATAGATAAAAGTTTATGTCTGTATCATCACATGAGAAGTCCAAATAAAAGGTTAAGTCTGCTCACTATTGTATCTAACTGCTAACATAAGACTATTACTCTGCAGGAATCATCCATCTCCTTCCCTTACTCAATCTCATTTTGAAAAGGAAGCCAAATACCAATGAGGCTTAAGTTACAGCCTCAGGTAACAGCACTGGTTAGGTTCTCAGATTCTTATTTGAGGGCTCGGGGTGGGGTGGAGGATTCTCACTTCTTTAAGCGTCCAAAAGGTTAGAAACCTTCATAAGGAACAATTGCAAATGCTAAAATTTTAACTTTGGAGCTTACACTCAAAAGTCAAACCAAGTGAAAAATGCCTTTTGAACAACCATATGCCTGGGCTCAGAACTGGGGAAAAAAAACACCAAACGGTTACCTTTTCTTCTCATTTCAAGAATTTCTTATGGCTTACCTTAAGAAATTTGTATGCTGCAAACACTCCCACTCCAAGAGCATACAATGGCATGAGAGTGAATGCTAACTCTCTACCATTTCCTCTTGTTCTCTCATTCTTTATCTCTTTTTCCATTGCATTTCTCATCTGCTGAACACTCTGATAAGTATTATGGTCAGAATGTCCTGGATTCGGGTGAACTTGATGAACTGTCTGAGGATTACCTTAAAAAGTAAAATAGAGAGAAAGACGACAGTATTAGAACAGAAATTAGAGTCTGATTAGTTTCACAACTGCAATTCAAGATTTTTCTTCTTGTCTGATCATCTTTGTTCATCACTCTTCTAAGATAGTGGGGTCAGCCCTGAATCCAAATAAAGTTACCAAAAAAAATATTAAAAATCAATCTTTCATTAACAGAATGCAAAGTTAAATCTAGGACTCTCAAACTAAGTTTTTGTGCTTCTTTAAGATATAAGTTTTAAGTTTCTCCCTTCAAAGCAACATTGGTAAATCCACAGCAAGCCACCCAAAGGTGGATATAACAAGAAACAACCCAAATCTTGAAATTAAAGCATACTTAGAGAAATTATTCATAATGCTGAGAATAGCTACAAATTAATATTTTTCTCCTGTAACAAAGGAGTACAAACTGAATTGTCTAGTCCTAGGGAAAAAAAAAATGTTTTGCTGAAATGTATATGCTGTGTTGCTGCTTTGGTTACTTTGAAA